GGGTTTTTTTTTTTTTTTTTTTTGTCCCAAATAGGTTGAATTTTTTGGGAAAATATTATTTCCATTATTTCATGCGCTTTTATTCGAAAAATATTAGTTCCTTTATTCCACGTGATTTTATTCAAAAAATAGCATTTCCTTTATTACACGTGATTATTGAATTTGTTTCCATTTTTGTGGTATTTCTAGCTTTGGAATACACCCATATAAATACTACACTATTTTTACAAATTTTGTATTATTGAAATATAGAATAATTGCACAATTATTCTATTTTTTTCCATATTAGTCAATTGAATAAAATACTCCGTTCTTTTTCTAATTAATTCTTTGATTTTATCTTGTTGTTTACGATCGTATACTTTATATTGTGTCATTTATTATCTCAATCCGTTTTATTTCCCAACAAGTGGTATCGGAGCTATTGGTTTTGATTTGTTTAAAGTTTTTGTTATTAATGATAGCCATGAAGTATGAAATTTCGATCTTGGATCGTAGTACAAGATTTTCATTATAGCAAGTGAAGATGCAAGTTGTACTCGCATAAATGGATTTTAATAATGCATTGTTGGGATTCGATAAAATGCCCATAACTTGGACAAAGGAGAAACAACAGAAAGATCAGTAGGCACTTTCATAGATCTATCTTTATCTCTCTAACAATATTCTTCAAGATATTTTGAAGGAGAAAATAATAGCTGCGTTGTGGTTGAAGTTGGAGTAATTGTGCGTGACTAAAAGTCTTACAAGTAAATTGCATTTGAAGTAGATGTTGTATTCTTATCGTATGGCAGAAGGTGGATTTTTGAAAGATCATATAGATGTGTTCAAGGAGATCGTCATTGATTTGGAGACTTTAGAGATAAAGTATTATGAAGAAAATTTGGCCTTAATCATTTTGTGCTTGTTGATTGCTTCGTTGACTTCGTTTAGAAACATGATCTTGTACAGTCGTGTTACTCTCACCATTGAAGATGCCCATGATACCTTGTTTTAAAAAAAAAAAAAAAAGAAAGATGAAACATCTAGTTGGATCTGAGACTAGAGATGGAGAAAGCCTTGTTGTTCATGGTGATCAGAGAAGGAGTAAATCGATGTTAAATTTCAGTAATCATGATTGTTATTATTGCAATATGGACACATAAAGAGAGATTGCGAGAAATTATAGAACAAAAGTAATTTGATTGCTGATCATGGAAAGCAATCAAATACTTCAGACAAGACCAATATAGTTGAGAATTATTTGAGTAATGGAGATATTTTGACGATTTTCGATATGGAATCCAAACTTGAAAATGAGTAGATTTTGAATACAGTTTGTGCGTTCAATAAATGTTCCAATTGGGATTTATTTGAAACATATAAAATGGTGACACAAGATGTTGAAGTCATGGATAACAATGAACCTTGTTAGGTAGCTAATATTGGTAAAGTCAGATTGAAATTGGTGGATGGAACATATGAAATAATTGATCACGTTCAACATATTCCAGACTTGAAGAAAAATCTCATTTCATTGAGTACTCTTGATTTAAAATGGCACACATTCTCTTGAGGATGTGGAATCTTGAAGGTTCGGAAGGATGTTTGTGTTGTATTGGAAAGGAGAGGTCCCAGCTATACATTTTGCAAGGTCAAGCAGAATTTGTGAAAAAAAGATAGAAAAGTCAGCATAGATTTAGTATTGCGGTGGAGATTCAGTTTGGTATCGTATCTTTGAGATTTGGTTCTAGGTCCATATTGAAGAATACTACTCAGTCAAGTTTGGGAGGATATGGGTAATTTAGCTTTGCCACCATTATCTGTGCTCCATCGTATTCAAATACTAGGGATAAACCCGTTGGAAATAGGTATGTGGATGATGATTCAGTTGCACATGCTTTTAGCGTTTTTGAAGGTGTTAAAACTAACCAGGGGCCTTGAGAGTTAATTATGCTACAAGGTATGCTTCAACACTATTTGGTAATTTCCAATTCTTTGTGAATTTTGGCTAATCCGTTGTTTGGATTCATGTATCCTGTTGGATACCTTGGAAGATAATTAGTATTTTAGTGTTGGAGAAAATTTGGTTCTTGTTGAAAGCTTGAATTTTTCGTTGCAATCGAATTTATTTATTAGATGGAGAAATTTTCGAACTTCGTTTGTTGCATCGAAATTTTTGTCAATGTGGAGATTGTTAGATTTATTTTTTTATCCAAATTAGATTGAATTTTTTGGAAAAAAATTATTTCCTTTACTCAAAGTGATTTTATTGGAAAAATAATTGTGTAGGCACAACTATTGTATTTGTTTTCTCCATATTAATCAATTGAATAAACTTCTCCATTCATCTACCAATTAATTTTTTGTCTTTTATTTTATTGTTTGTTTAATATTATATACTTCATATCGTGTCATATATTAGCTTGAGCCGTTTTATTTCCCAACAAATCAATGACTCGGATTGTATGTTTGAGAAGAAGGTAATATAAATCTATACATTCTTGAATGGCCAAAACAATATAAATTATGTCAAAAAGAATCATGAAAAAAAAAAGAAAAAAAAAGTATGTATACAGTATAATAAATATAAACATTATTCATTTTAAAATTTAGTTATATACTTATTTTCTATCTAGATGGTTAAATTAATAGTTGTAAAAATCTGTCGCTAATAATCTATCAATGTTGATGTATGCGATTTTTTACTTTTTATTTTCTTACGTTTATTTTAATAAATTTGCGTTTTACTTATGTAAGTTGATTCCGTGTTTCTATTTTCTATTCTCAAAAGACTTTTTCAATTAACTTTTGAAAAAAAAAATATTAATAATCATGTCCAATGCCTCGGATTTATATAATTTTAGAAGTTTTTTTTTTTCTTTTTTTTAATATGAAATAATATGAAAACCTTTTGTTTAAACTTAAACAAATGATGGTTGAATTATATTAGATTTAACTCAACTTTGCTAAACCAATATAGAGAAATAAACAAGCTTTTACTTGACTTATTTTGTTTGAAAAAACTGAAATGAATTTTATTTACACTGTAAAATTAAATCTAATATGGTTAAAAGGAATCCTATATTATTAATGTGCGGCAAAAGGGGCATTCCGAGAATCGAACTCGGGACCTCTCGCACCCAAAGCGAGAATCATACCACTAGACCAAATGCCCTGATTGATGGAATCAATTCCCGGTTATTTCTAAATATAAGAGAAAGGAACCCTTTAGGAACAGTAAGTTGAAACAATGGATTTACGCCCGCTCAATTTCGAGATCTTCCTGAGAAGAGCGAGCTAGTCAATAAATATCGTAAAAAGTCTCGATTTTGAGATGTTGCTGTGTTGAATATTAAGAATCATACTTGAATTAATGGGCTATTAACAAGCAAAAATGAGAAAAACAATAAACATTTTTGGCAAAAGTAAAATAAAGAGTCAAATAGTGAGCATTGATAGAGCCTATAAAATTTACTCACAAATGCTCTCGAATATATATGTGCCAGATGTACATTTTCCGTGTACAAAATCATTGTCACCCCCCTCAAATGGAAGTGGACCGCACATAATTTATTAGAATAAATCTTTATGTACATAAATTATGTACTACACCCCTCATATGGGGTGGGATCCATCCTCGGTAATGGATCCCACCCCATGTGAAGGCGTGAACATCTTATGTACCTAAATTATGTCCATCAAGCACGACCCAATTTATTATGCGTGAATCCCTCCATATGAGGAAGTATCATCTATTATGTATATCGAAAGTGTGCAAATAATATTATCCAATCACCTCAAAAATATTTCACTTTTTGATATTGAATACAAATACATAAATCCATACACTAGACCATTGGACCACTTATTACTTCTTTAATTTATTCTTAATTGTTGTCATCTCTATTTGTTGCAATTTGGACAAGTTTTTATTTAATATTGTTACTAATAAAAGATCAAAACAACAAATCAATTACCTTAAGATTAATGCTATTTACTCGTAGCGAAGTTATAACCCGAATCTATTTGCAACAAAACATTTGGAAAAAACTACGTTTAAAATCCAAAAGTATGCTCCTTGCGTAGACGAAATAACAGAAAAACAGAACTACAACAGCAATGCCACAATCAATTATCTATTTTATGTAGTTGTCGACACCCAAATTGTACAGATTATAACGCACAAGCGGTTGATATAACATTACTCGCTAAATTGATCGATGAAACCAAGCTAAAAGCCAGAATGGAGGGATTTCAGTTAGCTGGTTCAAATCGGCAGACACAATCGTATATGCTTCCTTTAATTAACTTTTCAGCGAGTCGCTGATTCTTCACCATTGCAAGCTGCAGATCGAATTGCTCATCACTTCATCGAATAAAATTTAAAAAAAAAAAAAAAAAAAAAAAAAAAAAAAAAAAAAAAAAAAAAAAAAAAAAAAAAAAAAAAAAAATTTCAATCATGTGTTATGTTTATTGCTTTTCATTAAAGATTCTCTTCGGGGGATAAAGGGGAGGGAGAGATTTCTACAAATAGAAAACTGAAATGAACAAAAAGAATAGAATTGTTTTACCAGATCAGCATCTTTGGCTGCAGCAGCCAACTCTGAACTGACTTGTCTCAAGTCTATGCATGGACTCCCACACCCATTTTCAACAACCATCAGGGGAACTGACGAGGAGCTTTCCTTTGAAGAATCTTGGATATTAATCATGGCATCCACAAGTAGGCCTCCTGCTTCAGCGGCTCCCCGAAGGATGTCACAGTGCTGTTAAATTCATTTTATACTTAATTTTGATGAATTGACTAAAAAATCAAGAGTTGCTCAACTAAGGTAATGGAATTTCTATCTAAGTCTAGTGTATATATTCACATTAAAAAGGAGAATAGATGGATAATAAAAAGAAGAAATCTTTGTTCCAATGCTATGCCAAAGGTAAGAGGGTTTTAAAAACTCCTTTTCTTATTTGTTTTCTCCTACTTATTATCTTTTCTTAATGACAAATAAACGGGTGAAAGAGCTTTCCAGGATTTAATATTCATGAATGACAGTTATTGTCAAGTCCTGGTGCATAAGAGTCCCCGTTAAAGAAAAGTAGTTAATAACTCAAGTTACAGTGAAGTTTCACATTGGTTACCAAACTTTATTTAGCTACAAAGTGATCGTCAAAGTTACAGTGAAGTTATTGTCAAGTCCTGGTGCATAAGAGTACCGGTTAAAGAAAAGTAGTTAATCACTCAAGTTACAATGAAGTTTCACATTGGTTACCAAACTTTATTTAGCTACAAAGTGATCGTCAAAGTTTGCATCTTATGTCAGCTCAGTTAAAATCTGTTAGTTTTTCTAATTGAGTGTCCCGCATGGAAGATGATGTTCTGACATGGCATCAATATGGAGGTTGTCACGTCGAACTCTCTATTAGAAAAGCTAATAGATTTTAATTCAGCGATCCACTGAAACAAAACGTAAATTTCACCAATAACTTTGTAAAACTAAAGTTCAATGACTAATATGAAACTGCAGTATAAGATGAGTGACCGTCAGTGTTTTTTTACCCATCAGTAAACAGACCTTAGCAGCCTCAGCAACAATATCAGGTACCTCCATAGCAGTAACATCATTTAGTGCAGGAAGGGAGTTGGCAACCAGCACAACCTGCAAAAGACTTTTTCATCATTTCTGTTTGGTATCATGCATAAGCATTATATGTGCTAGTCTGTCCTACCAAAAGAATATCCAAGAATGTCAAATACAAAATTCTGAAAATGGAAATTAATTAGAGATTTGAAACTTCAAAATAGAAAAGAAATACATTCCAAAACGCACCTATTCCTCTTTTTAAAGTTAGGACCGCTTAATATATTCTTTGCAATAAACAATCATTTTCTACATTTTGCATTATTGAGCTGTCAAATTTCTCTCGTTAAAAAAGCATCTAAAAACCTATTGCATCCTCAGAACTAACGAGACAGAAATTGAGAAGGTGGTATAGCAATCATAATTGACTTTTGAACTACTAGGTCAAGATTTCTGAAGAACCAACGTACTTCAGTTCCACGTCGCAGAAGTTCCCTTGCAAGCGGAAGCATTCCTAATACAATATCAGCACCTGAGTTGTCCACAAAAAGCAAAGCTCTTTTATGAGGTTGAGGCTTCTTATCTCCAGAGCCAAACATTCTCTCTTTGAAAACGTCAAAATCATCCACCTGAAATTAGATAAATAAAACCCAATAGCTTGTGAATATCATTTGTTGAATATTTTCTACAAGAAATTCTGGCTTGGATGTAATATCACGCCATATGGTAGTTTACCACACCCACCCGCCAAGGTCTTTGCATTTTGTTGCGACTCATTCTGTATATTTCAATAATTGTTCCCTTATGGTAGAGATCAACACATGCACGGGATCCCCAGTCAAAGATGTTTGCAGCTAGTACCCCTTCAATTAATGTAAGCATTCTTGTTTCCTGACACACAGAATATGCTGCCAAATGTCCATAAAAAGAAGGCAAGTTGCAAGAAAGATGAAGATGGAAAGATATATTTGAAGACTTCAGTATCAAGCATTACTCAAAACTATAACCGAAATGAACTGCTAACTGGCACAGGGATGATTAGACATCGTTTCTTCATTTATCAATGAAATTTACCCTTTTATTATATCAATGAATTTGCTGAAATGAACAAGGCTATGTTAGAGCCCCATTTTTTGGAGAGAATATATTTTGTAACAATGATTTGTGGTTAAAAAGTAGGGGGAAAAAATTTAGGGTTTACATGCAAAATTATTTTAATGGGAAAATGTGTGATTAAAAATGAATTTAAGGAAAAATGAATTTTTTGAGAGGGGGGCTCTAAAACAGGGGCTCTTCTCCGCTTGGAAGTAATTATAAATGGTTTGATCTATTAATAGATAGAAATGAGTGGTGAATAGAGGATAGAACATGCGGTTGAAAATGAGGTTTGACCATTTATAAATGATTTATAAAATTTTTCCAAATGGAGGCTAAAATTTAGTTTTCAAAAGGTCACAACTAATATGTAAAAGGTTGTCAGAACAATCAAGCTAAAACTCTTCAACAATGGAGGATTAGAGCATAGGAAATTATACACACCTCAGTCATACTGTCGAGCTCCTTTAAAAGATCAGGTAGAACTGCAAGTGATGCTTCATTTTCCCTATTATATACAACACAAGGAATTAATTTTGTGTATACAGTCAAACTATACAAATATGATAATTAACATAGTGTTAAGGGGGCTTGTATAAAAATTATTACACAGGTTTTAGATCAATATATAAATTCATAGGTAAATAAGAGACAGCAAACTAATACATGATGCAAATCAGAGAATCAAGCCTCAAGTCAAAATCTAAAAGACTGCAAAAATAACATCATAGCTATATCATGTGAATTTAAACGGCTTCTACCTGTGAATTGGAGCAAAAAATTATTTCAATAAAACATTATTTTGCTATATTTTGGGTATGCCTAACCATATTCCAGATTATCCAGATGCTTGTGCTTGATGAAATGCCCTAAGCAGTTTCGGCTCTAATGTCATAAGATATATCAAAATGATGTGAACAAAGTTTGCCAGAACAGAACATTACAATCAAAGTGTACCTCTGCTTTATGCTCCTATAAGCATCAAAGAAGTGGAACTCCCTCAAGCACTCTTCTCTTAATTCCAAAAGGTTGGCCAGCCCCAATTTTCCATATGCAGCAGGCTCCTCCATTAACCTTGTCAGACACAACGGAAGTTTTAATAAGAGAAGTAAACAGTATGAACTTCGCCAGTGAGGTGATTTATTAAATTTGGAGTCAAAAAGTAAAAACCTGGCCAGGTGTGCAGAGAATGCACGAGCAAATGCATCACCCCGTCTCTTAGCATCTTCGGTACCACCTTCACTTGCCACAGCCTGCAGAACTCACACCAAGTTCGCATAATCATATACACAAGACACTATTACCGCCTTATGGAACATAAAATATCAAAAGGAACAAGAACATGAATCACCAAAAAAAAGAAATCTAGATTAAAACTTTACAAATGTAGCCACCAAAAGTAATTTTCCAATTAGTTAAATGTTGTCGACTAAACATTTTTGCAGCAGTGCCAAGAACAAGGAGAACGAACATACTAAAGTTTATCTCAACTGTCATTGAAGCGTTTGCACAAGCAACTTAGATTGATGACACAAATTGTTACCTTGTTGTGTACATCAACAACCAATTACTAATAGATGCTGCATCATGTTAACATGTGGTGGTGGAAGTACTTGAAACATAAAGTAATCTACTATAATAGAACAATTTGAAACTTGAAAGTCAACGTGTTCAAGACTTGCAACTTCAAAAATTTTGACTTTACGTTATAAATGATTCATTTGGAAAATTTCTTTTTCCCTTCTTTATGGGTGGGTGCAGGTTGGGTAGCTGGGGTCTTAGGCAAGCGTCTGATAGAGTTATGTACCTTATCAACAAGGTCTGATAAATGTTCTGATAGTATAGTGAACCAATACCTATGGCAAATCGTAAATGCGAAACAGGTCAGAAAAATATGGAAGTTTAACAAGTACCAACTACTGGCAAAATTTAAGATAATAAGACAGATTTCTTCAAATATAAGCCAATCTATATCGTGTATCACTTACTCTAGTTCACTGTGATCTGAGAGATCTATTGTGTTGGGCTCATATCTGCAATGAAGAAAGAATTATAAAAATAAGCAACAATGGTTCTCATGTTTCAAGATATTTTAGGATTTGAGTCGAAACAAGAATAGACCAACAAAAGAGAGAGAAACTGGAACTAACAGCAGTGATTTTTCTTTATTCTTTGTTTTACAACAGCAGAACGGAAGCCACTCACCATAAGAGGCAGTCCAATCTAAACGGGGGGAATATAAAACACATGTATAGAATAAAACTCCCCTTAACATAATGAAACAATATCTTGTTATGGGAGAAGGAAATCCATATGATCTAAGAGTATGGATAAGGAGAAGAAGCTTGAGAGATCACAGTAGACACATTTCCAGATACACATCTATATTAGCTTACGTTTTTGGGTCTGCCAACAGTGGAAACACTTCTAAACTTGGTACAAGATGGAGAACACCAACATTTAGTTCACTGGCATCAGAACGCAAGGTATCTCCTTTGGATGATGGAACTTCAAAGCCTCCAAGGCCAGTGGTTCCTGGAGGGGCCATTGGAACCGGAGCAGTAATTTCAGTTCCCTTCTGCACAAACTTTTCCATCCACGATATCTGCAATGATATGTGCATTACATGTTAATGGTGTTGTTATAAATGCATACTAGCAAATTCTGCACGCCATAGAAAAATGAAAAAAGAGAACAATTTTCAAGAAAAGTTAATGTCGAATGATGCTTAAAAATTCTTCAATTAGTAACAAGGTCAGTCAACTATACTTTGGAAAGTATATTTTTTTTTTCCATTTTTTTGTTCTACATTTCATTTATTTATAATTTCTTTGGGAAGTGTTGCTCTGTGAGTGTTAGAAAATGGCTTCGTTAATTTGGCATGACCAAAGCAATGAACCAGGTTTTCATAAGAGAAGGTGAAAAAATTGAAACCATGGATGGATGTATCAATTTGAGGAATGAATTTGAGCTGCTTCACTAGCTTAGCATCTGGATAAGGAGGATCATGTGTTGCATGATTTCAGGATCACTTAGAGTCATACCTTGGCATGATCAGTCAAACCATCAATGAACTCCTAAAGGAAATACTAAAACTGTTATTCTGGTTTGGGGCTATAATGCTCTTAGGTTCCAAGAGCTGCTAATTCATTAGTTTAAATGTACCAAAATTCTGCAGCTGTTCCTAACAGAATACTGCTGCTGAATTGACATCTGCTTTTTGAGGAATCTTTCCCTTACTTTCCAAACCAGAAAAGCAGAAAGAGGAATATATTCCTTACCTTTTTCTTCTTTATCTGTAAAAAGCAGTGGAAGATAGAGCCCTCAGAATAATCATCATAAAGTTGCATTCACTGACTTTTTTTTCTATGAATTCAGATGAAGCAATGATTTAGAAGTTCCACTGCGCAAGAAGCAAACTATGAGCCCGTTCAGCTCGTTTAATCCTTCTTCCCAACTCACATACAATATGTGCGTCACCAAAGAAGATAAGAGTCTAAAAGCTCAATTGAAGATCACCCAGACCCATTAACCCACCAAAACCATCCCAATAATAGGTTTCGAATGCATCCAATTATATTAATATGTGACTCAATTACACCGACCAAAAATGGTGGATCTAAATGGATGACTGACCCTTTCATCTACACCCATTTAACTTTTGGCCTACATAATCCCAAGCAACCAAATAAAGCATGCATTACATAATTAATATAGAGTCAACTGAATTGACTCAACTTCCATCATCCCTTCTCCACTACCCGCCATTTTCACCAACCTCCTTAACGATCATGCACTACTAAAACCAGAACCTCCTACAATCCCTGCAACAAGAAACAGCTCCTCTGGCATCATGCTGTAGTCACCATCAGGCTTCTGGATCTCCCCACCAATTAACTCATGACACTTGAGGAGTAATTTAAAAGACGTAACTACTAATAAACTCTACATTGCAGTCTTATATTAACGTAACATAAAATTTGTGAAAAAAGGTAGATAATGTATCTGACTGACCTGATTAACAGTGTTATTGAATCAATGGTTCATGGATGCAAGGTTGATGGTGAAAAATGGCTGTGCTGCACCTAATAGATGTTCTAAACAACACGGGAGAAGTTAATGATACTAATTAATCATGGAGTAAATGATGGGATTGGTAAATTTGGGGTTGAAGTGGATAAATGAATACTAAAAGGCTGATGGTAAATTATTCATTTATTAAATGGGTCACACGAGTGGGTAACTGTTTACCTTTCATCCATTTAGGCCAATTACCCAAGATCTAATTATCTCAAGTTATTAACTATAAATACTCATATACCACCAATAACGACAACAAAATAAAAAAATAAAAATAAAAATTGCTCCTTTTAAATTTGGGGTCAAGTACATGAATTATTTTCTGCTGCACATAAACACACAAGATGGTTAATGCATATAAAATTAGATTCATATGATCAGCAACCGTATTAAATTTCCAGATTTCGTAGTCATAATTAACCAATTACCAAACATCAGACTAAGATTTTAAATGAAACGCCAATTGTGAAGCACCCAAGGTCATAATAGTGTTGGACAAAACTTGCCTTCTCATTTAAATCTCCAAGAGGTGGGCCATGGATATTTCCTCCCACATACGGTGCACCCATCGGGAACCTTTCTACTAGCTGATGAACCATAAGGTCATCTAAACCGTGCTTTTCATAGCTCATAAATGCACCTAAAGCTCCCAGAAACCCTTCATGTCGTAGAAACATTGCCTGTGCTTCCCCTTTGGACCTAATCAAACAGTAAGAGAAAAGAAACTAAAATAATACAACATACCACTTAAAATATTCATGCAAGAAGTATCAAAACCACTAGAGAATTATCATAAGATAGAAAATTTCATTTTCATGACAATAAAGAAGACATTGAACACTAAATAAAACTTCCATGAGCAAAATTACCAGAACTGCACTGCAAATGAAATGGTGTCCATAGTGTAGGCATGGCCTCTGATAAAAAACCCTCCAAAAAATATCCGCTTAAGTCCAAAGCGCAATGCATTTAAGTAAGATATCTATGAAAATTAAAAAGGATTTTAGGCATATAAACATACAAGGATAGCCGGATATAAATCCTGCAGTTTTATTTGTCCATATCAGGAAAGTAAGCTGAGGAAGGAAGAACTCACAAATAAATGTAACAAAGGAAATAAAAATAGTTTTCCCAAGTATTTTCAGAGAGGTCAATTTATGCATGACCCTTAATAATGTATTCTTATAATAATCACATAACAGTACCAGAGGAAAATAAAAATAAGACACAAAAGGGTTCAAATGAATGAAGCTAACGCACCATGAGATAAGACTTAGCAACTTGGAACCGACATCTGACACTATAAACAGTGATATTCACATGAATGAACAAGTGATTGTGTCTTACTGGTTTTAAGGTGGTGCGATGAAACTCATATAAGACTTAAATCATGTTGGATTGAGCATTCGCAAACACAGCACAAATGTCCCTTTTTGAAGAGCACTAAAGTAAAAGGCTAAATAACCACACAGGTTCTGGCCCGGCCCAAATAATATTACTTCTTTTTTTTCCTTTTTCGGCTGCATACACAAGGATGGATGGGGAAATTATTTTAATTATTCAACACAAACAATTAGCGTCTGAGAAAACAGAATGACACATGCCCTGTTTCTGAACTGTTAAAGAAGGAAAACTTTAGATAATTCAATAGTGCTCAAAAAGACAATCATGACAAAAGAACATTCTAGTTATGTGATACCCAGAATGAGGTTATACAGGAATTTATGACTCGCATGAACTTTTAGATTTTTCCTTTGTTTTCACAATTATTGATAGTCTGTCTCCTCTTTAATAATTATACATGTTCTTTTCCCATTTTATTACCAACTATTAACTAAAATTTTGTATACACCATAGTTAAAAGAAAAAGAAACAAACACTTCATAAACAAGCACGACAATGAATTAAAATTACATAAAAATCAATTTAACAAACCTGGCCAATATTATAGGAAATCATTCGCAAGAGGGACAGAGATATATCTTCAGGTCTATAATTATCGAGCTCCTTATTTTCAGATATTGCCTTGCCAAAACTTGAGGCAATTGTTGATGCAGAGAGACCAATCTATTATCATTCACAACACTGAGAACTTAATAACGAGCGGGAAATAAAGGCTTCAATAAATGTATAAACGCTGGCAGATAGAACTCAAAATATATTTTATCTAAAGAGGGAAGAAAAACCAAAAAAGGGAAGAAAGCTATTTAGCCCCAAGGGTCAAGCAAACTGCTAGAGTGTGCACCCCTCTTTCCTTTGCATTTGAGCCAAAGAGGAGAAAATAAATGAGAAAAGTGAGAAATAACAAAAAAGGGAAAGAATATTCTCTCTTCCCACCCCCCAAGTTCTCATAATGACCAAGACAATTTCAGAAGGCAACTAATTTCTAACACTTCACGTCCAATCAACATTAACAACAGCATTAGTGAATGGAAATGAATTGTAGCGGAGTACATGTGACTTAAAGCGGTATACTGAACAGTGAAGTCTAATTTCCTTTACAGAATAGAAGCTAACAACATCCAACCAGAAATAATGCTACCTGTTTCATTAATGAGGGTAAGTTACTACTTATTTCAAAACTATACGTTTTCGAATTATGAGGAAACATGAAGATGACAATGTATGGTAAAAATGATCCAGGTGGTTTTTATTTTATGTTCTCTTTTTTTCGTTGTCCATGGGGGTTGGTGGGAAGAAAATAGGGATATGCTTTTAATATGTTAAATAGGACATACCTTTGAGTAATCTGTTCCACCATAAATATCACCAACAAGCATGTCTATAGTTCTATTATCTCCACGCTGGCTCAGCTCCAATAATTCATCAAAACTGATGGAGAAGAGTTGAAGGCAAAGTTTAACAACTCAAATGCAAACAAGGAAGACGAGGAGTAGTAGAAAGTTAACCATCACATCAAAACAACCTTTCGCATTTTGTTAACAGCTTCCCTAATCCCCAGTATGTCCCCCCACCAACATTTGTTCCACTAACTCGCTGGAATTTCCCATCCCCATCAACCTGTAACCTTGTAACAGAGAATAAGGTCTATAATAATATTCCCAGAGAAAATAAATGGGGATAGAAAGGATGTTTTCACCTTTATAATACTAACACCAGATCCTATATTCACAAGAAGATATGGAAATAAGTCATTTTGATCAATCTGCACAAACTCCTTTTGGCCTTCCATATGTGTGAAAGCTTCATGTCGAATTGCCTACGCAAAGCACAAGTAGCTTGTAACACTTTCAACAATAGGATCAACAATGAAAAGAAAGAAATAGACCAAGATAATATGGTGCATAACCACCAGTACGAAGCATGAGCAGTCAGTCAAGAAAAAGCTTCTCAGATGTATCCATCACAATTTTACAACTTTATACTTCATATGAATAAAAACAAATGAGATTACCACTTCCTCAAGCATCTTTCTCAATTCATAAGACCCTTTTTAAGAAATACGAAATGACACTAGGTAAAAGAACATAAGATGCACAATGCTCTTAGAAGAAAATTTCAGATTGTACCTTGAGCAAAAAATTTGCTCCAGCCACAAGACAATTCATTTCGTCCTCTTTCTCTATACTAATCCCAAGTCTTTCCTTAAAGAGATCAGAAAACTTGTGTGCCCCGCCACCTGTAGCCTTCACAAAAATGAAACTAATTAATAGAGGAAAATGTAAAAGAGTGAAACAATCTCAGTTAGAAAGGTAGAAATTTGCAACCAATGACAAAAAGAAACAGCAATGTTGACTTTCTCCTTGATAGAATTGACTATCTGGAATTCTGCTCGATAGATTTTCACATAAAAAATCCAGCTCCATTATCTCCGGGCAAAATTCTTCTCTACTCTCCTTGATATTGCTTAAGAAATAATGAAATAAGCAAAATGGAAAGATGTGGGTGGGGGTGGGCAAAATGCATTACACAAGCTTATGTCATCTGTTTGAGATAGCAAACAACTAACGTACCTTAATTACGGTGTTCTCAGTGCTTGGACCTTTGAATTGCCAACGTCGTGAATCCATTCCTAATACAAAACAGCACAAAATACAGACAATAAGCAACCACAAAAAGATTGATTCAAATTATGAAAATTAATTGTTGAACTAACACATCAAAATACACAAGATGAATTGAAAAATAGCATTTTATTAAATTCTCCGTCATTAAAAGTGGGAATAAACAAATGTGATGATCAAAATACATAAGGTAAAGGTAACAATAACATTTTACTAAATCGTTCATCATTTAAAGTGGGGAATATACCGCCACGATGAAGTTGCTTTGAGTAGATGAAATCCAAGCATTCTTTAATCTTGATTGTCTCAAACTTCACAAAATGCAGTCTCCCACCAAGAATAGGGTAGCTCCTCCTAATGCCATTTGAAATCCCTAATCTCCCCGTAATTGTCTTTTTTCTCCTGTCATTGATTGGCTGATCCTCGCGTCTTGCGAAATAAACCAACTTGATTAGAGATCCTACAAAAGGAAATCTATTCAACTTTATAAATGGTTACTAAAATAAGGAAAAGACAGTCATATGTCCATCCAAGCTTGAATTCAACTCCCCTTCTAGTGATGAAAAAAATAAAAAAGAATAATAATGATAACAACAAAGATATCAATGAAAAGTCATAAAACATATTTTAGGATAACACGTGATATTCAAATGAAAAAGAAAAAGTAGTCAAAAGTTACTCAAGACGTCAATATACTAGAGTCCATTTATCATATAATTTATAATGCTGAGCAATCAGAAGTGGTGGTATCTTATTTATCCCATAAGACCACATTTGACACACCAGATCAGGTAGTACAAAGAATTTAGTAGGTATTATAGTGGATTAATGTAGATAGGATCCATTGGTTTTTCATTCAAAAGAATGTCATTTATTATATCTTTTCTATCCAACCTAAACACACCTTCAACCTCCGTATTATGTTATATAATAAATAGCGCATATGACTATCTTTTGAATGGAAAATTAAAGAACACAGTCCACCTCAATACATCATAAACCATCTACCTGTTAGTACCCATTATAATGTTATACTAAGTTCCTTATATGGTCTAACCCGGTGTGCCAAATGTAGCCTAAATCAAATAGTATAGTAGAGACATGAAAAAATAAACATAAAATTTCATCCCAAAATGAAGTAATTGAATGATATCAGGAGTTGACAAATGTACAATCACCTGAGTGGCATACGTAAAATTCATTGTGCCCACAAACAATCATACTTGAATTCACAGTACACAATTTCTTTCTGAAGATTTCTCGAATAATGACTTCAAAAACGGGAAGAAAAAATTCCACTAAAAAAAGAAAAGAAAAGAAAAGAAAAGAAAAGAAAAAGTAGTAGTAGTAGTAAAAAAAACCAAGGAACAAAACAAAGTTCACAATCAAACAGGCAAAATAATAATAGTAGTAGTAGTAGTATGAATTCAAGTGAAAAGAATTTTCCACTTCCTAACAAAGAGAATGCATAAAATTCACCTCCAATGTCCAAAGCCAAATGAGAAATATCATCAGACTGATTAGGCAACAGTATTGTGGGATCCCTTTCCTCAAAATTTCCTTGTATGGCTGCCCCACTGAGGTCCAGCTGCGGCCGGGAGGATGACCGGTGAATCAAACTACCGGTCAAATGAGCCATATCCTTTTCTTCTCCTCCTCCTCTCTCTACAATAGTACTAGCATCTATTTGAATTTCTTTTTCATCACAATTATTTATATTGCCGTCAATCCCAAAGTTGAGTTCTTGTTGGTCATCTGTTAGACTAGCCATTATAATTACTCTCCACACCTGCTGCCTAATCCCAAACTGTTTCTTTCTTACTCAGTCAAAAGTCCAATTTGGTATTTTCTGCTGTCCTACATTCAATGTCCAAAACCAAACACAATTCTTACACATTATTGAATGTATATAATACTATAAAAGAATAAATATACAGATATAAAATTCAAAGAGAAAAAAAAATTATTACTAACTGTATATTCTTTTAAGGATATATATCCGAATTTCTTGTTTAACAAATCCAAAAAAAAAGAGAAAAAAAAATGGAGGCTTTGAATGATTATTATTGGCATGAGGGACACAGCTTTTCGCACACGTGTTCATGAAATTGTATGAACCCCAGATGACAAAATAGAAAAAAGAAGGCAAAATGGAAAAATTAATTAAAAAAAAAAAAATGGGAGTGTGAAGAAGTGTAACTTGGTTGATTTTTGGGAGGACAAGAAAGGTTGATTTTGACGACGATTCTTCGTTCTTCTGTATCGTCATCCATGCGTTCAATCACCGCGTGTGCAGATACGCGATGCTCCTGCGCTTGTGCAAGGCGGAGATTGTAGACCATAAATTAAGCGTTAGTCAAACTTATCTAAAAATTAATTATTTTTCCATAAATTCGTCTTCAATTCAATAAATTTTTTTCATATTTTTTAACAAGATTATTCGAATTTTTTTTTTTTTTTTAACTTTTTCTTTCTCCATTTTCATACGCTATGGCACGCGTTTTCAAATCAACTCATTTGCTTATATTATTATATTATATATATAGTGTAAGAGAGACAATGTGAATCTATGTAACACGCAACTTTCTATACCTCCCGCCTTACTCCGTGCTGACCACTTTTATAAGGTAAAAAAAAAAAATCACTTTTGGTAAAAAAAAAAATTAAAAATAAACATATTAACAAAAAATATTTCTAATATATGTAAAAATTACTTATATAAGTAAAAAAATTCGTTTAGTTGTTACAATTTTCCCAATAATCTGTTACAAGCAAACACTCAAAAAAGATAACGATACTGTGAGCATCAACCTTCAAAATAAGATGTTAGGTCCTCAATCTATCTAAACTGATGAATTTGGTCCAGAGTGATTTTCGTGGTTAAAGTTGCGACCACTAGAGGTGAAATTATCAAATCACATATTATTTATATCCAATCTTGTACAATTTTAACATCTAAATTAATGATTTTTGTCACGTCAAATTAAAATTCACATATTTAAATAAACATGGGATCCAAAATTTTAATTTTGAAGATTGAAAACTCATAATCATACAAGAGACTGTCCAACCCTAATTTTTATACTTATAAAAGTTAAAATTATCATTTCGAAAATATAAATATATTTGTAATTTTATCATTTTTCGCCTTTGTATTTAGTTTGAAAATATTGTTGTCTTATTTATAATTTAGATTAATTAACTAAAAAAAATATTTCAAATTTCCTCTTTTTTCTTTCTTTTTTCTTCCTTTTCTGAATGCAATTTTCCTCATTTTAGTGTGACAATGCTACAATTATAATTTTTTTAATAATGCTATTTATCGACAATGTTACTGATTAGCAACTAAGACGACCATAAGGTCACCATTCATTCTTCAATTAATTAAATGCAAATATTCAGTTCTATAAGAATCGGTGACCATTATTCAACTATCATATATACTGATTGTTTCGCACGGGTTAGTCGTTAACAATTAAAAATGATCAGACGATTGTGTAAGGAACAAACCTCTTGAGACAAAGTCCCAAAAAGGGGTGTTCTTTTATTGGCGATGACTTTACAATTGAAAATTAAAAACAACGTGCCTCCAGGGGCGCAAGCACACTAGTTACTGAAAGAAAAGTGTTTAAATCTAAAAACTAAGGAAATGAAAATTACATGTTCTCTGTTCGAGAGTTTTGGATTCGGTCCCTTGCTTCTATGTCCTTTCTCCCTTTTATACTTCATGGACGATCTCTTTGTGATCAACCGCTCTAAAAACTGCTTGATCGTCCTATAACTGCCCACTTTCTTCGTAATGGCCAACTTGTCATGAAAACTGCCTTTTTTAACTGCTGCCATTACTCTTCATCGTTCAACCGCTTTCGATTGAATTCCTTGAATCGTGGAACGTGATAGGGCTGTTTCAATAACTGTTTTGATAACTGCACTTCTTGATAACCACGACGTTTCATGTTTGTTAAGACCTTGGGCGACTTGAAGGTTTGGGCGAGAATAGAGTAACAGTTCTGGGCGACTGTATGACACTCCATTCGCTCAGATTCTGGACGACTTGCAAACTTGGGCGATGGCGTTACCGCGTTCTTGGGCCTCCTTATTTGGGCCTTCATCTTGCTTCGTTCTTTGGGCTTCGTTCTTTGGGCTATCTGATTTGGGGATCCTCCAATTGGGCTTCACTCCTTGGGTTGTTCGATTTGGGCTGAATTTTTTATGTGTCAACAATTACCCCCAATATGGCAGAATTAATAATAATTATTAAATTTTGCCATATTCACTTTGTGTTTCCAGCAACATTCGAAATTCTCAAGAATTTCAATCATTGTTTCCTTCTATAACTTGAAAAGGTGCGTCGTTTTGCAAACCCTTATAACCCCCAAACACGCCATTACACTGCACCACTAAATCACGCCTCAAATTTTTCTCGTCTCTCTTAAGATTTACTGTTCATCCTTTGCTTCCCTGCTACGTAACCCTGAAAAACTTCATTCCATCTCAAATGGCTACTTCACAATCTCAAGCTAGCGACTCCTTTAGTTTCGATGACTTTCAGAAACTCCTGAGTCGTCCATACATAACTCCGAGTTTTCTCGCACCCGTCGACGTTGAACGTAATGAGTTCTACTTAGGTCCTTTCTTCAACAATGCAGAGGCAGTTGAACAGGCGGTGGTGGGTCAGCTGTTTCCTTGCACTCAGGGTCCTCCATTTCTGAACTCTCTACTGCTTGGGCCACTTCGCGAAAGAGGTATTCGCACTTAGCCTAAATCTGATGTAGCTTTCCGTAGGTGGCATGCTCGCCTTGTGGGTCATGGCCCTACTAAGGTACTTTTTGATAGCGCTAGGATTTCTGATTTGTTAGAAATCTCTATTCGCCCCCTACTTTTGATTCAGCACTCTTTTCGATTGCTTTGAGTTTCTGGTCCCCTGAGTACAACACCTTTATTTTCCCTTTTGGCCCCATGTCTATTACCTTAAGGGATGTTGGGGCCCTGATGAATCTACCACCTTTGGGCGATACCATTTTTCTAGGTATCTTAGTTTCCGGTGGCGTCCCAAAGTTTGGTAAAAACTACACCGATTCTTATTCAAGCCTGCAGACCCTCCACAATCATTCGAGCGCTGAGCCTTCCCATACTGAGCGAGTGGCTTTCCTTTTAGTTTAGCTTTGTAAATATGTTTTGTGCGTACCAAGCATAAAGTCCTCCCTGAGTTATTTACCTATAGCGCACGAATTGGCGCGTGACAGACCTTTGAATTTATGTTCTTTGTTTTTTGCTGCCCTTTATAGAGGCATGGCCTTTCTTCAAGCTCAATTGAAGAATGGTGCATCTCCTACTGGTAGTGGACCTCTTTGGTTCACTCAACTGTGGTTGAGATCCTATTTTCCATTGCTTGGTGCTCCATCCATTTCTCGCTCCTCTGCTAGCTGTTATGGGCTAGCCATGGAGCCCTTAGCTCCTGTAAATATGTCCAGAATGGACATTTTTTTCATTCTTTTATTCCTTGGATTCAATCCCTTCCTTTTTTCCTTTTCCTCCTTTTTTGACTCCAAACTATGTACATCCCCCTTCCACTATAGATAGTGCGAGCACCTCCCTGCTCATTTGGATCCAGTTTTTAACCGGGAGGGAGCTATTTTATGATATTCTAACTGGGACCAAAGCCAAAGTGGGGGTAGAGATTTATGCTCTCCAATTTTTTGCTCGTCAGCTTGGTTTTGGCCAAACTTGGCCTGTTCCTCCTTGCTATTCAAGGAACTTAGTTGACCGTTTTCATACCATTACTAAGGCGAAGGCAGAGGCTATAGATGCTCGTAATCTTCTTTTAACCAGCCATTTTTCATTGGCCCCCTTCAATTCTAGCCACGCCATTCACCCTCTTTTTGAACAACTCTGGCCATCGGTGACGCGCAGATTATTTACGACTGATGCCAATCGTGCCTTTCATTCATTAGATCAACCGAGCATTTCTTCTTCTCTTCCTGTTTTGGTCACTCCTTTGTCTGTTCGGAGCCCTTCTCCTTCTCGTCGCACTAAACAGTCTGCTTGTCCATCTTCTTCTCTCCCTGCCAAGCCTACTACAGTCAAGAGTGCTCTAAGCCACAAACGGCCAGCCTCAACATCTCCCATTCTGGAGGATGATGTTGATGATGATGATGATACCCCTCTTATCGTCAGGAGGAAGGTAATTAAATTGGTTTACTTACAAGTATACTTTTTCACACTTGAAACTTTTCTGTGTGCTGATGATCTTTTGGACTTCTCAGAAAAGCTCAGCCTCTTCTTCAAAGGTTTTGGCATCGACAGCTCCTGCTCCATCATCTTCTGCTGAGGCTACTTCATCCAAACCGGTTGATGAGGGGGCTACGCTTAAAGAGACATCTTCAGTCCCAGAGTCCTCATCACAACCCATGGATGAGCCACCTTCTTCCCAGGGCGACAACTCCCCAAACATCGAAGCAGAAGGTAATTCAGTTTTTTTATGTCTTACCTTTGCTTGTGCTGTTGGTCTCTGATTCATTGCTCTTGAGTTTTGCAGTTATTCCTATGAGTCCGCCCGTTGTGGCAACATCTTCTCGCTCAAATAAGAGGAAGTCTTCACGAATGGAGGAGTCGTTGGTGGCAGACTTGGTTAAGGGCACGCCATCTTCCACGATTGTTGATGAGGTAGTTTTTGCTTCACTTCTATTTCTATTTTGTTCGTTGTAGTGAGCATCTTTAATATTGGCAATTTTCTTTACAGGATGCTAACAGGATTGTGCGTTCTATCCAAGACTTGTTTGCTTCCTGGGGGCAAGTCCAGACGTCTCGCCCTGCTCCATCTGATCATCCTGCTGCTTCTTCAGAGGAAGATTTGAAGTTCCTCAAGGAGTCGATATTTGAGTACGTATCCTTCATGGATATGGATATTGGAAGGGCTAGTGCTGCCAGACACAAGGATGAACTTGAGCACTTGAGCGCGAAGTTGGAGCAAGCACTGACTCTTTCGTCGCTCAATCTTTCTGCCGATTTTAAAGCGACGTTGAAGGTTATCCACTCCGAGGTCCTTTCTATGCTGGCCAAGAATGCTGAACTAAAGGCCAAGCGTACTCAATATCTTCGAGCCGTAGCTGAGAAAGAGTCTTTGCGTATGGAGATTAACAAGGCTGAGGACGAGTTGAAAGAAATCTCTTCCG